TTTTGTCTGTTTGTTTGCTTTGTTCTGTTAGAAATGTAATATAATCGACTGGTTCCCCTGACACGATAAATAAATTGCATCCTAGTCTCCAGGGAAGCCGAAAAGAAGCTTGCTCCCTGTGGCTTCCTCTCACATATTTATCCATGGCTATCATGTCTCCTCTCAGCCTTCTCGTCTTCAGGCTGAACATGCCCAGCTCCTTAAGCTGCTCCTCATAGGGCTTGTTCTCCAGACCCTTGATCATTTTAGTCGCCCTCCTCTGGACATATTCCAGCTTGTCAATATCTCTCTGGGAGCACCACACCCCAGAGTCAGACATGACTGGATTTAATGTCAGGGGAAAACCTTTACCTTTACCTATGGCACTTGCACTCTTTGACAGAGATATAGCTCAAGACTTTTGAAAACTTCAGCTCTGGTGATTCCATAACATAGAGCCATGGTAGTTAAGGTGCTGACAAACTGCACTCATCCTACAGTGTAGATGTACATTTTTCAGTTCTGAATTTTAAAAACTGTAGGCCAGCTTCTCTTTCTTGAGTGGATGAATAAAAGATTTGGCTTTCTGGGTTGAGATGGAAAGCCAGGAACAACCCAGTAATTGAGACCGGAGGAAGGAAACTGTCAAGGAAATGATTTTCAGTGCAGGAAACTCTCCCCACCCTTGTGATCAGTCCAAACAATTGGAACTGGGCTGTGTGCATGTAAAGACCAGTTCACAAGTGCATTTAGTGGTAGTAAATCAGCACTGGATCACCTTTCTCTTCAGAGGAAGTTTATCTATAAACTCTAGATAGGAATAGATATGGCTTGATTGTGGAGATGGAAAAGCTAAGGAAAGTTATTTGAAAAACAGCAATTTCTCCTGAGCAGTGTACAGGGAGCTGGCATTGTACCTGATTACCATTAGTTTGAACAATTCTACAACTCCTTTGTCATCATAAAAAAGGGATGGATATTAATAAATAGGGCCGCAAATTTGGTCCAGGTTGCTTCCCTTCCACATAGCGAAATTGAGTTTGTTTTACATGCAGACTGCACACCTTCCTTCATTGTACAAACTGGCGTGTTGTGTGGCCAAAACATATCAGAGCATGGTTAGGATTGGGAAGTTATTAATGTGAAAGAAAATGCAAGCAGGTAAAGGTAAAGGTTTTCCCTTGACATGAAGGTCTTCTGGGGAGTCCCTGCTCTCTATC